TTGCATCATCATGAAATGAGGTCAAAATGTATTGCTCAAAATGAATGTTGTTGCGGATGCCAACAATTCAAAATTTTACAAAAAATACTTAAAGTTTGGAATAATGTAACTATTAAAATTGTCTTCAACAGCCATTTGTGGCCGTGATAATTATCCGATTTTATAGAATTATGTAAAATTCTTTAAATTCTTACCGTTATTAAAGGTAACACATATTTCATGATTTGGGGGTGTAGGCAAACGGTAAACTATCGGCAATTAGAAAGTGGTTTCATTTCTAAAATTTAATCTATATGTACAATTTGTCATGAATAAGGTCCAGATTAAATCTGTAATCATCGTTTACATCGGATTTCAGGCAAAGCAAATTAAAATTTCATGATCATGTTCTTCGAAAAGTTAAGATTAAAACTGTCAAATTTACAAAAAATTTCTGCACGGTAGATTTTAAAATCGCTTAGAATGTTGAATCAATATAACTAAGCTCCAGAAAAAAGAGTCAACCCTAAGACAGGTGCTTCGTAATATGTAACGAAAGTTTGGGGAGATGAGACAAGTTCAAATTAGTTTACAACACAACGGTTACTGATGAATTATCAAAGAGTATCACTGAGATAGTCTTGACTTTGCTTTACGATGTCAGCTATTTATTCATCATTGAATATCTGAAAGCAAGTGCCACGATTAGGAACAGCATTTAAAGATCACTATCTATTCCGATCATTTCAGGTTGCACGGTTGCCGAGTGGCCAATGTAGTTCATCTACAGTATCATAAGCATGACAACACTAAGAATGTGAGTTAGAAACACGCATTTGACAGGTGCGTTTGACTCTGAGATTGCCAGTTTTCCTGCCAGATATCAGTTGTTCTCTCTAGCTTTCTCTACCAATACAAACTGGCCGCGACGATATAGCAAAGAGTGCTGAAAGTGTCGTTAAGCACCAACATGCAATCAATTAATCAATCGTATTATTTCGCGATTATTTTTGGTACATTAATAATTATCAATCCGATGTGTGATTAGTTCTTTATATCAGTCAATCAACATGTAAATGTTTTTTTTTAATAACATTCGACGGAACATGTTTAAAGCATATACTAAGGACAATTATCAATTATACAATAAACATGAATCAAAGTAGGTTTCGAAAAGTGGTTGGACCATGATAATTGGCAGGACATTTTGCGTTGTATTAAATCACCTACGGATCAGTTGGACATGCTAAAAGGGTGGCATTCTCCAAGTCCATCACCAAACAGAAGCAAAGACGGGGAAAATGTATTTCCTAAATTAAAATAACAAAACACTTCAGTATAGAAATTTCACTTGTGATATCACGTTGATGTTGTTTTAAAATATGTTGAAATGGTTACATAAAAAACTAGCTAAACCCCGTCACATAATTATGTGCCTGACACGAGCCTGGTACTTGTTAGGGTTGTCTTATGTCATATCGGAATTTTTTGGTGTTGATGACACCCCAATTAAAGTTTATATATAATTAATAATAACTTTTAGATAACTGACTACTGTTGAAGATTGTATATTGCTCTATAAATGTCTTAAGGTTATTTTTATCGTTCGGTAGCTGTCTTATTGACGTATATATATATAAATAAGAAGATGTGGTATAATTGCCAATGAGACAACTCTTCACAAGAGACAAAATGACACAGACATTAACACCTATAGATCACCGTACGGCCTTCAACAATGAGAAAAACCCATACCGCATCGTCATCTATAAAAGGCCCCGAAATGACAAAATGTAAAATAATTCAAACGAGAAAACTAATACCTCACATCTCAAATAATTCATATATCTGACCTAGAATTACCGTATTACAAAAAGTTTATTGCAAATTAGGTTTGAGCCACACTTACATCTTAAAATTAGATATCGAGTAGAAATTTGACAATGAAATGTACTGACGACACACAGAGGACTCTTTTAGAACAGGGTTATATATCATATTGTTGAATAATTACATTACATGTATGTTTCATCATAATACGTTATTTTGATTGGCTAACAACAATCGCGTCATTCTGAAATTAACCTTCATTTCAAAATGAAATGTAACATTCATGATGACACGAGCTTCCACAATAAAGTTCACAGGTAAATAAAAGAAAAACTTGATATAAATCGTTTTTTTATGATGCTAGAAAAAAATGTAATAGTATTGAATGCTTTTTTGGTAATTTTATAGGGTTGTAAAAGTGTTGACCGTGCGCACATTTTTATAACAAGAGTGCACATGCTGAAATGCCTCGCCTACTATACTGACCATTGATGTTATATTGATAGTCCTACATATAAAGTTTTACTAAAAGTATCATATCATTTATGATCCAAGAAAATGAGGTCAAGGTCAGATAAATCAAGTCGGAAATACATGTACACCTTTAATACAATCATTCCGTACACCGAATATAGATGACCTATTGCTTATAGTATAAAAGAAACAGACAAAACCATGGAAATTTTATATGACTAATGAACCACGAAAATGAGGTCAAGGTCAGATGAATACTGCCAGACAGACATGTACACTTTAAAATCATTCCATGCATCAAATATAGTTGACCTATTGCTAATAGTATCTAAGAAACAAAGTTAACCCGGAAAACTGAATGACCAATGAACCATGAAAATGTGGTGGATGTCAGATGATACCTGCCAAACAGACATATACACCTTACAATCATTCCATACACAAAATATAGTTGTATATCCCAACTCGTTCGCTATGCCCGTAGTGACTTTTGGATTTTAATGAATGTAATCTATGTATAACTAGTAAATTATGAAGTCAGGGATTTCGTTACCACAAATTACTTAAAACCTTTACTAAATTCTTTCATAGATACTAAGATTTGGTCTGCAAGTTTGGCTGTACCTGTAGAACACTTATTTCAAACGGATCCGGAATAGTACATCCTAAATTCTACGATGATGTCGTAAACCGAGCCCGGAAACTTAGATACAATCCGGGTAAACTTATCAATCCTTTAAACAAACTTATTCTAAAAGGTTACCTATTCAACACTGTAATTAAATCTTTGAATGTTGTTTTTATTGGTATAAATATTGATTTTGTTATCAGTAAATTAAAATCATACTTAATATTACACATATGTACTTTCACGGTACTATAATCTGTCGATACCTATAGTTTGGCATTGCACAAGGTCATGTTTTTCTCTGACTGTTAATGAGTCGATACACTAAATCCATTGGATGTTGGATTTTTTCATTGGTTGTTATTGGCTTTGAACTAGCTGTCAGTAACTGCGAGTATTCTCAGATTTGTACATAGTGTATTTTTGTTTCTGGGATCTATTAGTACCCGTCAACGTCCACTCTGTGTTTTTGTTAGATGTATTTCTATTTGTATTCAACTGATGAGTTAAGCCTTTTTCAACTGATTTTTATAGTTTGTTCTTATGTTGTACTGTTAGACCACTGTCCCAGGTTAGGGGGAAGGTTGAGTGCTCACAAACATGTTTAACTTCGCCACATTCTTTATGTGCCTGTCCCAAGTCAGAAGCATGTAGTTCAGCGGTGGTTGTTGGTTCATGTCTGTCATATGTGTTTTTCGTAAATTGTTTTGTTATAAATTAGGCCGTTAGTTTTCTCAATTGAATTGTTTCATATTTTTCATGTCGGGGCCTTTTATAACCGACCATACGGTATGGGTTTTTCTCATTGTTGAAGGCCGTACGGTTGCCTATAATTGCTAACAACCACTTCATTTGAACTTTGGTGGATAGTAGTCTCATTAGCAATCATACCAAATCTCCTTATTTTTATATTGACCTATTGCTTAAAGTTTAAGAAAAACAGACCAAAACACCAAAACTTAACATTGAGCAATGAACCATGACAATGAGGTCAAGGTCAAATAAAACCTGCCAGACTGACATGCAAATCGTAACATATTTCCATACACCAAATATAGTTGACCTAAAGCATACAGTATAGAAAAAAAAGACCAAAACACAAAAACTTAACATTGAGCAATGAACCATGCAAATGAGGTCAAAGTCAAATAAAATCTGCCAGACTGACATGTAATGTACATCGTAAAATATTTCCATACACCAAATATAGTTGACCTATTGCATACAGTATTAGAAACACAGAACAAAACACAAACAATTAACATTGAGCAATGAACCGCGAACATGACGTCAAGGTAAAATAAAACCTGCCAGACTGACATTAACATCGTAAATTATTTGCATACACCAAATATAGTTGACCTATTGCATACAGTATTAGAAAAACAGATCAAAACACAAAAACGTAACTTTTACCACTGAACCATGAAAATGAGGTCAAGGTCAGATGACACCTGCCAGTTGGACATGTACATCATACAATCATTGCATACACCAAATATAGTAGATCTATTGCTTATAGTATCTGAGGTATGGACTTGACCACGAAAACTTAACCTTGTTCACTTACCAATGAAATGAGGTCAAGTGAAAACTGTCTGACAGGCATGAGGCCCTTGCAAGGTACGCACATATCAAATATAGTTATCCTATTACACATAATAAGAGAGAAATTAACATTACAAAAAATATTATTTTGTTTTTTCAAGTAGTCACTGAACCATGAAAATGAGATCAAGGACAATGGACATATGACAGACGAAAACTTCATATCATAAGGCATCTATATACAAAGTATGAAGCATCCAGGTCTTCTACCTTCTGAAAAATTAAACTTTAAAGAAGTTAGTTAACCGCCGGATCATTATCCCTATGTCAAGCTGTCAAGGCTCGACAAAATATGTACTTCGGTCAACGCTTTTACACCTCAATGAATTTACAAAAAGAAGCATTCAATTCGTAAGTAAATTCATACCTTGCTCTCGACCAAGATAGTTTTTTTTATCTGTAAAATATCTAAATTTAAATAAATGACTTGCGAAGTGATGTTTCAATATAATCAACATAATAAAAAATAACGACGAGGCTAAACAATGAAAACTTTATTTCTTAGAATAGGGAACAGAGAAAACAACAGTGTAGACTATAATACTCAAATACTAAATGTCTTTTACATTTTAAAGGTTAAGTAAATTAGATTTAGAGGTCGAAAGTATTGCAGAAAAATTACAAGTTTTTGTTATGTCAAGGATTTATATAGTATCCTTGGATTGTTTTTGTATTGTTGTTTTTTACCTCGACATTTTTGCATATGATATATTTCAATGTTACTTGGTGTGGGATTAATTTAAGATAACTGGACAGTTTTAATAAAATGGATATTGTTTTACGTACAATGAAATGCAACTTTATGCATGTTAATCGCTAAAACAGTGAATCTAAATATATTTTTAAATGAGTTTTAAATAAGAAAGAAACCATACTGATCAGATGTTATTGAATATATAGTCACCATCATGGTTTACTTTTTCTATCCGTCAACAGAGACAGTTGCAATGAAGGCACTCGTATTGGATATGAAGGGTATATAAATCATGCAGTCTGGTCCGATTTGCCTGAGGACGTGCGTTACAAAAAAGTCAAGAGTACCACGTTTCAATGTTGTTGTTTTATTTTTGTTATAAAAATAGAAATGAAAAAATAGTGGGGAGCACGTAAAGGAACCTTTGCAACATCAAGTCAGTTTTAATTTCTCTTGATTTAAGGGAGCACTTTTTATTATTACTATCATAATAAGGGTTCCTTCATTGCCAAAACAAAAATTTAAGGATAAATCAGAAAAAATAATAAACGTCTTTACTTTGTTTATTAAAACGAGTTACGAATAATTTTTTATTTGATCTGAAGCTTACATGCAGTTTTGTTGCGTTTTTTGTTTTATTCTGTTCTCATTTTTCTGTTTTTGTCCTATTGGAAGATACATGTATATGGCATGTAGAGAAAATGAGGTTTTATACCTGATGCGGAAGTTGGGCATTTAACATCGGTTATTTTTATATATTATTGTGAATTCACCCGACATTGAAATTGCTTATTATACTTAAACTTAACAATATATACAAAAGTTGTTCCTAATCCTAATTACAGTAGTTCTCACCTTACATATAAAATATTATAAAAACAAAGCGGAGTGTTGCACATTTTTTTTTGTCGATAGAGAGTAGCATATAAACCATTACTCGCTATACGTATATGAAATTAGGAGAAGTGTTAGGATTGCAAACTAGGACAACTTTCTATTAGAAAACGACGAAGAAGGATAACACTAGCAAAACCTTTAACTGTATAATCAGCTATAAAAGGCCCTGGAGTGGTGAAATGGGAAAAAATTCAAAAGAGATCATTTCAATGACCTGACTTATACTAAAAAAAATAATAGTAAACGAAAAAAATAATATCTCTATAGCAACCAACGACAACCACTGAATAACAGGCTCCTATGATGCATATTATAAGCTGATTTTAATTGTTATCAATTTTTAAAAAAAGGAAAGGTATATTTTCTTCTTTTTTCTTTTTTGTTGTCAGGACTGCTGAATGCTGCCGAGAAGTTATGAGTCGAAATGCCTGATAAAATAATGCTTGCAATTTGCTGTCAGAATCATGGTTCAAGTGTGTCATCGTATATGAAAGTACGAAACTATATATATATATATATATATAAAGTGCCTAGAAAATCAACCTAACAATGTTAGAATCAAATCTACTCTAACATTGTTAGGTTGATTTTCTAGGCACTTTATAAATATTCTAAAGCCTGGCATTTCTTAATCATAAGAAATCCGATGGACAAGGTATAATTTACAGTTGTCACTACACATAGGCAGACATATATATATATATATATATATATATTTTGTAACATCTTGTGATCCGTTTATTTTGCAATCGCCAATTGCAGTCAGCAGGGTTTAAGAACATCTGTTGTTCGACCTGTTAGTCAAATGCGTTTTGTTAAAATATACTTTTTCACTTTTTTGGTCTTTTGGAAAATGTTGTTTGTGCTGTATTTAGACCCCTCTATCAAGAAATTTGTTTTGCATGCACACGTATAAAAATTGCGGTTTTTATCCAACGCAATCATAGGTTTGAACGTTGTTTTCAATTTAGACTTGTTTATATATATATATATATAAACTGACAAAACGATTTGTTAAAGATTTAAAGTAGATTAATTAATAAATCTAAGTTAAAATACATTAATACTGTTAGTTATTTTACCAATCTTATTGAAGTTCATATCTATCATAAATCGCTTACACGTCCTCATATGAGGGTAACGAAATCAGAGATCCATATTCTAATTAAATTGTTATTTTACATATCACAATGTCTTTTTTTTTTTTCAACATGCACAGTTTAATTTCATTTTTTTTAAGGTAGATCGGGTGTCTTTATTTTAGCATCCCTTCTGGGCGTGTTCAAAAAATACTCTTATTGTTAAAAGATATTTTACCGTGGCCAAGTAGCAATCAATATACAACAGAAACATCTAAAACTTGAAATTTTTAAAGACTAAACTATTGAAAAATTAAGTGTCGTTTAGTGTATTTAAAATTTTCAGAAAAGAAAATCCATTTAAAATCAAGGTCGGATAATTATGTTGAATTTGAAAGGACAATTTGTGGTTTTTGGATTTTTCAAGAAAATAGGGAGAAGGCCCATGACTCCCATTTTTCATTTGATGTTTCGGAAGTATTTATAAAAAGCAATCATCTCATTGAATTTTAACCAATACGTTCGTTTAATGTTTCCTCAATAAGGAAAAGTTATGTTTCCCCTATATAACCCATTTAAAAAAAAACTGTAATTTCATTTACTACAATGTATTTTAACGAAAAAAAAAACCAGATCCGTGACCACTTGTTTGTATATTAATATTCGAGAGTACATTGACTCAGAAGTCTTTTATAGAAGTTTAAGAAAAATCTATTGTTGAACATTTAGACACCCCAGCTATCTTAAAGACGTCTTTAGGAACAGGCAAAATAAACATACTAAATTTAAATATTTACTAATGATCTGGTTAACATTATATGCGAATGACATTATGACAAAAAGACGGTAATACTATATACATGTATACTGATCAGACAACTCTAAATTGATATATAGGTCTTTGGATTCGCTCACTCCAAAACTTTGGAAACATTAAAAATAAAATTACTGCCTTTCCCTGAAGACTTTCTGAATAATAGCTCCATTTAAATGAAAACTATAACTTCATTTTCATAAAATGTCATCATTCGCTCCACAGTTTACAGAAAATACATTTTTTATGGTGTTAAAAATATTTCTTGCTCCTCAAAACAAATGTTTTGTAGAATAAAAATTTAAATACACTTTCTTCTCAACAAATTCAAGGTATCGCTTGCCAAAATATAAATTTCGAAAAAAAACCATAATAATAAATAGTTTGCTCGTCCGCTTCAATTTTTGTACATAAATGTCCAAAGAACAAGTAAAAATAATTATATAAATATAAATAAGCACAATTGTAAAGAAATCTTATATATATATATATATATACCAGTATGTACCTATGACAGATGTACTATCTAACAAGTACAACAAAAATATACTAAGTTCCTAACATCATTTAGATTATTGATCAAATTACCAATTACTTTAACATATAACTATCATTATTAGACATCAACCACATATAATGTGTCTGATTCTCTAGATTGAAAAAAAAAATGTAAGTTTTAACTATATGCATATGCTACAGTTATATGGTTGATTGATGGCTACGAAACATACAAGAGTAAATATTACATTCATATTCAGGGCAACAAGTAAACATTTTAATGAGATATGGACATACCCTGCTTTATACTAGACCGAAGGACTAATCCAATTCTCTATCATGTTAACCCACAAACCAGCCACATTATTCGGACTTCGAGTCGACCAATCTTTGCTGGTAATCTCGACATGCTTTGTGATAGGCAGAGAAACAGCAAATGCCAATCATAAATTAAGTCTTTTGTGTGACCAATTCTCGGATCGAATACATGACCACCTTATGAAGTGTCGTTCGGTTCAAAATCGAATTTTGACACGCAAGCTGGAGCAACACTACAGGGACTGTGGTTCGTGTTCCCCAGAGCAACGCGTCACAGATCGTTTGCGCGTACCAAGGAAACAGGTTACACCGTCCCGTACTCGAGAGACACCCGTAACTGTTCGTTCGTGCATACAAGAGCAACGTGCATCACTTCGTTTGCTTATATTAGAGCAATTAATGCGTAGCAACTATTGTCCTTATATGGTTGTTTGCATTTAACCATATCCAAGAATTTTGTTTATTGGACTCGTATTTAAGAACATGTCTTAACAAGTTGAATTTCAAACGGAGGCGTCAAATATGAAAAAGTGTTGATGTTTTTACGATTAAAGCGGGACAACCAATCTGTTTGGAAAGTGTAAAAATTAATGGAAAAGTACATTGTCATCGTGGAACAAAAAATCTGGTCAACTTGATACTTATATAGAAGCTTGAATTGCTCACCTGGGAAAAAATATTTCATTTTAAAAATAATTTCACCATTTTGCAATTTTTTTTTGTTTTAGCTTTTCGAGTAAGTTAAAGTCTGTCTAGACCTAAATGTTATGTTTGTGTGTGATAACTTAGCATTATTCACTAACTTAAAAAATAAAATACAAACGTTCTATTCCCCCTCCCGAACCCTCATAACCCCTAATCAAACGGTCCTCTACTACGCAGTCAAGATCATATAGAAAACCTCTAAATGTTCATTAAAATACATCGTCGAAAGGTAATACTCCAATAAATAGTCAACTAAAGTTTACAGATTATGTTTTTGCAAAGCAAGAAAATAGGAAAACGTTTAAAATTAACAAAATCATAATTTATGGGCAATGACTCCTATAATGGTCTGATTAAATCATAAGAAAGTACGTTTATTGAAATCCTACACGATGTTCTTTGTTTTGAATGAATACTTATAAAAATAAGAAGATGTGGTATGATTGCCAATGAGACCAAATTTACACAGAAATTAACAACTACAGATCACAGTACGGCCTTCGACAATGAGCAACGACCATACCGCATAGTCAGCTATAACAGGCACTGAAATGACAAATATAAAACAATTCATATGAAAAAACTAATCTATGTCAAAATAATGAACGAAAAACAAATATGTACACAGCAACAAACGACAACCACTGAATTACAGGCTCCTGACTTGGGATAGGCAAATACAGAATGTGGTGGGGTTAAACTCGTTTGAAGGCGCTAATCACCACTAACTTGGGACAGTGGTGTAACAGTACAACATAAGAACAAACTATAAAAATCAGCTGAAAAAGGCTTAACTTATCAGATGGATACAAATAGAAATACATCTAATAAAAACACAGAGTGGACGTGGACGAGTACTTATACATCCTCTTAATAAAAAGACGCTAAGTACAGATCTGAGAGTATACTCGCAGTTACTGACAGCCAGTTCAAAGCCAAGAACAACTAATAAAAAAAAATCATGCATCTAAGACTAAAGTTCTTCCCCAGAATGACATTTCAACTTCTCATAAGGATAATGAGGTATACGAAGACATACAAGCAAGGTGCCGTTCAGTTTAACAAAGATAATGAAAATGTATCATTGCTTGTTTAAATAACATACAGACAGAGACAACCAAATGTAGTATGGTTAATGTATTGAATATAACAGTTCCTTTCGTGAACTTGCAATAAAACACCATATTTAGTTATTTCTGCTTCTAAATCGTTGGTGTCTTGCAGATCCACCTGTAAAAAGTTCGATCAGATCTGAAATAGCAGAATTATCAGTTGGGATATTGCGGCTAATAATTTCTAAGATTCTTTTAGCATCATCTATCCCATTAATGTCAGAACCATTGCCAAATAATTTTAAAATTTCCACATAATCGAAATAATTTCCTTTGGGAACATTATTCAATGAAATCTTAATTAGCTTATCGACTCCTGTATTTGTCGTTTGCCATTTTTCTACACCTCTTGTAATCATTTTGAAAATCCTTTTAGTCATGCATTGACGATTAAGCTTATTACCGCTTATTACAATTGCAATAACTTCATATCTCCCAAGCAACGAAGCGAAATCTATTGCTGTATATTTATCACAATTTTCTAATTGCAACAGCTCAATTTTTTGCTCACAAAAGTGTTGCATATACAATTTGTATTTTTCGTTTTTCGAATAAAGTACAACTATGTAATGACAAATTGTATTTTCGTATTTGTCAACTTTGCGGTAAAATGCATCGTAAAGCTTTGGAAATTTACGGAAAACATCAAAGTCAGTACCTTCCTTTGTAAGACCATCTAGGAAAGTCTTCAGATGGTAAATTGTGATATCACCGTCACTTTGTAGCAATAAATCTACAAAGAAATTAAGTGTTTCGCGATTTATTTCTTCTCCCAATTGTCTAATGTATTGCACAATTAAATAGACATCGCCTTTATCAAACTGTATTCGCTGGAAAAATGCATTGGCCAATGTGAAAGCACCGACTTCCAAAAAGTCATCATCTTTATTCTGTCTCTTAAGGCGCACGTGATCAAAGAGAATATCAAAACGACAAATCTTCAATAAACACTCGATACACTCATTTCCAAACGAATGTATAATTGATTTTACGACAACATTGTCTCGTGGACTGTAGGTACAAGTGTCCACTTTTGTTAATTAGGCTGGAACCAGTTTCATCTCTAAAGTGTCTTTGGTTGAGTTAATACAAATATCTAAAGGATTTAGAGTTTTTGCAATTTCACGAAAAATCTTCGACTTTTCTTGTCCTAACGATATCGATCCCCGCAATGCAGCGTAAACAAGAAGAGAATATGACAGAGCTGTCTTCCTGCATTCTTTTCCGCTTATTCGCATTTCATCTATACGTTTGTAAATGAAAGTTTCAACCCAATTGCCATCAAGTTGTCCTAAAGATATAAGAACAGTTTTCAAAGGTATAAATATGTGATTGGATAATGTAAAGTCCATGCCCCCCATTTACACAATCAACTCTAATCTATTAAGAAATAACATTAGCAATGTCAGCAGATAGGGATTATTAGCTAGGCAATGCTTATAGAGATTACTACTTGACGGTATTTTTATTTATGTGTATTACTGTATGCGTTTGTATATCACATAATGATACAGTAAAGATAAACATAAAAAGCAGTAGTTATAATTTTACGTCACATTTTTCACAACCTAATTATTAGCTTTCGAATATCATCATAATAACATTCGTAATTATTTGTAATTTGAATTTGAACATAAAAGTCATATTTTTCTTGCTTAACTTGCTCATGAAAATTGTCAACATCAATAATGAGTATTTGAAATCTTGTCTTTTTCTTTGATCGCGGTTATTGACTTGTTTGTTGATTTCTTAATTTCAGGACTACATATAATTTGAATAGAAAGTAATGCTCTTCAACTTCGTTCTTTATTTGCCCTTTCAACTTTTTTAGATTCGAGCGTCACTGATGAGTCTTTTGTAGACGAAACGCGCGTCTGGCGTAAATACAAATTCAATCCTGGTATCTATGATGAGTTTATTATACTGATTTGAAATATTAGCAATCATGCCATTTGATTGGTTATATTGACTGGGTATCCAATATCCATTTGGAAGAAAAAAGAAGATCAGCATCGTCATTATTGCAGAAATCAGGAAAGTCAAGTTTGGTATAATTGTAACTCAAGCTTCACATGGGGTATGAGCTATTATTCCCTGTCAGTGTGCATTATTTACTTAGCCTGATGAATAATCCCAAGGGTATGAAACACTGAAAAGGAATATGAGCTCACATTACCCGCACCTCTGATAACATATACCAGTACTAGATAGGACATCAAACATGTATTCATGCAATGAGCATCTTAGAAATTTAGTGTACCGAAAAAAAAATGGTACATGGTTAGGATCACAGCACAATGATATGCAATGCTTTTAATTTTAGTACTTGTCTATGTCATATGGGAAATACTGTATGAATTATTCACAACTTATGATTTTGTGAACTGCTGTTTGTCTTTTAGTCGGTTTATTTTTGGCATGGCATTGTCAGTTTGTGTTTGACTGATGATTTTGAATGTCCTTTTGGTATTCTTGGCCTCTCTCTTATAAAAATATAAAACATAAGCTAAGATGTGAAGGAAAACTATATATCTTAAATTTTTATGCTTACCTGTTGATTTAAGAACTGTAGGACAGGAATAGTATTTTCCTGAAGCATTCGATGCACAACAAACGTATGAACCTTCGTCTGCAGGCTGAAAGTTGACAACAGTCAAAGAAGGATTTTGTGTAGAACCACCAGTATATTTTTCATCACTTCCTCCGATGTTAAGCGACTGCTGATCTTCACCATTTGGAGTAAACAACCATTCAATCGAAGTACCCGTAGATATTTCAGCCACAGTGCACTGA